CGTCTTGATTCTCCTGAGCTGATATCTGCATTAAACTCAATTGAGTTGTTAGATCACTTGTCAATCTCAAAGTAGATAACTCAAATTTCTTTCTACTCAAGGCATCTGCAACCACATTAGCTTTGCCGGGATGATAGACAATATCCACATCATAATCTGCCACTAATTCCATCCACCTGCGTTGTCTCAAATTTAGTTCCTTTTGAGAGAACACATACTTGAGACTTTTATGGTCAGTGTATACTTGAACTTTTTCCCCGTACAAGTAAGATCTCCAAATCTTCAATGCAAAAATCACAGCTGCAAGTTCTAAATCGTGAGTAGGGTAGTTTTCTTCATGTTTTCGAAGTTGGCGTGATGCATACGCAATAACGCGGTCTTCTTGCATCAACACACATCCTAACCCTTGGTGAGAGGCATCACTATACACCACAAACTGTTTTCCGGGCTTTGGTAATGCCAAAATAGGAGATGATGTCAATCGCTTCTTCAACTCTTCAAAACTTGTCTCGCATTTTTCGTCCCATTCAAACTTCACACCCTTTCCCGTCAATCTCGTCAATGGCTTAGATAGGTTGGCAAAACCCTTTACAAACTTTCTGTAATACCCAGCCAACCCGAGGAAACTTCGAATCTCTGTAGCATTAGACGGTCTCACCCAATCAACTATAGTCGACACTTTGGATGGATCTACTTTCACTCATTCCGCAAATACCACATGCCCCAAAAATCCTACCTCTTGCATCCAAAAGTCACACTTACTCAGCTTTGCATATAACTTTTCTCTCCTTAAGCGTTCCAACACCTTCTCCAAATGTATCATATGATCCTCACGAGATTTGGAATACACAAGGATGTCATCAATGAAGATGATAACAAACTCGTCCAAATAATCCCTGAATGTTGTGTTCATCAACTCCATAAAAACTGCAGGTGCATTGGTAAGTCCAAACGGCATGACAACAAATTCAAAGTGTCCATACCTTGTTCTGAAAGCAGTTTTCTTTATATCATCATCTAGAACACGTATCTGGTGGTAACCTGATCGTAAATCAATCTTCGAAAACCAACTAGCACCTTGAAGTTGGTCCAATAGCTCATCAATTCTTGGAAGTGGATATTTGTTCTTTATTGTTACCTGATTCAATCCTCGATAATCGATGCATAATCTCATACTCCCATCTTTCTTCTTAACAAATAGTACAGAAGCACCCCA